GTTCTTTTAAACTTTGCTAAATATGGGATTGTTTCTTAGAAAGCTTATGGAAATTAGTGGTATATTAGTTCCAAATTAAATAAAAAAAATAAAAATTTCAAAAATTAAGTATTTTTATTTAATAATTAATAAAATAAATAAATAAATAAATAAATAAAATCACCTTATAGTTATAGAATTTGATTTAGATATAAAAGATAAATGAATCTAAAACTTATATTAAATTATTTTGAAAAAAAAAAAAAAAAAAAAAAAAAAACTTCTTTGGCAATATAAGAATTACATACAAAATCCAAATAAAAAAAATTTAAAGAATTTTATCACAACATAAAATAATTAAATAGAGAAAAACTTATAAGTGACTTTTAATCCTTAAGAAAATTATATATATTAAGTCTAAATTAAAAAGAATAAACTGTATAGCTTGTTAGTAAAATTCAAAAATTTAACTTTATACTTTAATAAATATTTAGCTTTGTAGAAATAGCACTTAATATTATAATTTTATAAAACTTAAGATAGTATTTATATTGCTTAAGATGGTCTTTATTCTGTAAGGTTTTTTTTAGGACTATTGTTCATTTCTAATTTCTATAATCTTATTAAAAAATAACTTAACATCCTAAATATAAACTTATTCTCAACCTAATAAGATATAATCTTATCACAATTGGATTAGATTTGGGCTTATACTTCTTATCTAGTTCAATAAAGACTAATAAAAACTTATATAGCTAGTATAATTCTAATATGGTTCTTTATTATCATAGATTAGAAATCCTTATACTTTTTGTGCAATCCAAATATAGTATATTTTAAAATTATTTAGATAATTAATTGATTTATTTAGTAATTAATATATGTTAATATTTAAAAAATAGATTTATCAATTTTAATAAGATTTCTTCAATTATGATAATTTTTAAATATTAATATTTTTAGATTATAAGTCTATATGCCAAAAACTTATTTTAAAACTTACTAGATAGTGACATCTTTTTTAGCTTTTAAAATATAATATTTTTTTGTTTTTTTTTATTATTTTTATTTTTTTAAAATAAATTGTAATAAGCAGCATGAAAGTCTTAAAGTTTTTGATTGCCATTGTTGCTATAGTAACAAATACATTTTGTATATATGTTAATATTTTAACAATTACATTTTGAAATTGACAAATTTCATATTTAATGTTATTTTTATAAATTTGATAATGCTAAAAGATTATTTATGATTTTTTTATATCACCTTTAGTAATTGTATAGTAGCAATAAATAACTTTGAGAGTAGAATTAAATGTGATGATATATTTTTGAAGTGTGGTTGCAATGTTTTGCATGTATTTATGTTTTTTTAAGAATTTTACCTATAGAATGTGATTTTTTCCAACAAGGCCAAAAAAATGGTGAGGTTATGAGTTATATTATAAACCATGTTTACAAATTTTTGAAGTTGGTTTTAAATAGTCTATAAGGAAATTTGGAGGTCAATAAATTATTTATAAATTAAAAATATTGGTTCAATGCATTGGTAAATTTATCCAAAATTTGATTTAGCAAGTACATGTCGAAGGTAGATTCTTTCAAAGATGCATTGAAATTAATTAGTTTTTTTTTCAAAGTTGGAAGACATAAGATATTATGAGATATTATATCCTTGAATTGCATGGAGTAGGTGGTATATCAAGTTATGCTAGCATGTCGTTAACACTAGATCTAAGTAATTACGTTAGTATTTTAGGTGTAATAATAAGGATAAGAGGAGAGTGAATGGTAGCACTAGCACTAGCACTAGAAGGATAAAAAATTGTCAAACTAAAAGCCAAAATTGTAGGTGTTTATTAGAGGGTCAAATGGGCTTCTTGAATTATTGATGTAAATGGAATTTAGTGCAATTTGAGTTCTTAATGTTGGAATATTGGAATTGAGGACATACATTGGGATTTAAATTGTAGTGGTGCACTTATTATAATTGAAGGCATTTGATTCAATTTAAAACAAGGTTACAATGTCACTACAACTAGTGGTATTTAAAAAAGTTTAGAATGTTTTTATTCAATTATTAGAATAATATTACATCCTATCTATGTTACAAAAGCAAATACAATCACATGTAAGAGCAATAAAATTGAGGAAACTTGCAAATTAATAATAAAGCTCTTTATTGTTATTACAAATTATGAGACTTACAACATTCAATGTAAAGCATTGATAGAGTCTTCAAAGAAACAATCAAATCTTTAATTTTATTTCCAAATCAACCTTCTTAATTCTAACCTAATAAAATAAGATGCCCATCTCTCTACTTTTCTTTTGACCATTTAGCATTGAAGATCTACCTAATTATCTTTTTAACTTCTAAAGTGGTTATAGAAGTTTGAAGCTTGAGGTTTTGCAACAACTCAAAAAATTTAATAGAAAAAAAACATCTTTAATTTGCTTCAAATACCTCTATTTCTTCAAACTAAATATTTTTTTTAATTAAATATATGCTTATATGTATAGAGAAATCTTTCTCAAGTAATAACTATAGTGAAAAGGCACCCTTGCAAGTAAAATCATGCTCCAAATATCACAAATAGTCAAGCCTAATGCAACTCTTTAAAAATTAATAAATGTCAAGAAGAAAACTATAAGTGCTATAAATTCTAAAAGTCTATGTTGAGAGATTCAACTTAAGAAATATGAATTCTTAACACTTATAAGAAGATAAAAGCGTATTAATAGGCCAACTTGAGGTGTCAAAAGACACCATGATGTACATAGTACATAATAGAGAGTTTATGTTGCTCATAAATGTCAATTGATCCTTTGGAGACAAAAGGTCGCTGTTGCTACATTCTAAAAGAATTGGGCAATTCCAACGATGGTGCTGGCTACATTCTCATCTCCATGATAGTACGCTGCATGCTCTGACACATCTAGAAAATGGCGCTTGCCGTTTGTATTTTCCGCGTTTTCCATTTGTTACGGCCACCTTAAATCCGCAGACACAGCAAGTTTTTTTCGCTGAATCAACTTCTGCGAGGATGACTTTACGTTGCTCGGATGCATCCCCATCAGGGGCATTATCATCATCAAGTCTAGGGGTGGCAGTCAATCGTCGCCACTGAGAACCATCATTCTTTTGAAGCTCATTATTCTGCTGAAAATAAACCTCCATTTTAGTGCCAGTAATATACTAATGCAGCGAAATCAACCACCGGCATAAGTGCTTTCACTTTAAAGGACATTAATGATGTTAAGAATGTGAAAAAAATCACGATAACGCTTGCTCTGTAGGTTTGCATTCAAGGATTCTAACTTTAGAACGTGATTGGTACGTTGGAGAATCCAGTTTATAAAATCAACCTTGGATTCAAAGATAACATTCGCAGCAAGTATCTCTTTCGTCTGTGAGATAGTCAGTAAGGGCATTGACAAGGATCCACAGGTGATTTTTAAATGGGAAAGGCTTCACACCAGCTGTTGTCCTTTTCGTTTTCAATTGCTAGGATCTGGAAAACAATCCGGTTTGTCACTCGCAACATGTGTACCTTCTCTGATCGTGGTGATGCTGTCACAGAAAATCACTTCCTAGTGGATGTTAAAAAATTGTTGAGTTATCTGAAGTTACAATATTCTGATCGCCATTGAGATTGGATTTGTTCGGGAGCACAAGGAACTCCATAGTAAAATAAGAGACCATGGTTCTGATTGAATTTTCCGTCACCAAGATAGGCACACTCCTGTCAACGATCATTATCTCTTTCAGATATCCTGAATTCATGAAAACGGGACCAAGTGAATAGTTGATGTATACAAGGAGTTTTAGCAGAGACTGTTGTCTGCAGTTACGCTTGGGAAATTTCAGAAATATGATCGGGCATGACATTGTTGCGAGCAATACATTTGAGAAGAAATTACATGGTCTTGTCTTTTAATACTTTCCAGTGAAAATACACAATCTGAACGCATGGGTTCCAGAAAAGAATAAGACGGTCGACAAATAATGATGCAATTGGATTAAATCCCAGTGATATCCTCTCTCGGCATTTGTGACACAAAGATGAAGTTTAACAGAGTCTTAGAATGATTCGATTGGAAGATGTTCGTCATTAATCTCGACTTCACAGCCTTTCCCCAAACAGCCAGGAATATGGATCACTCGTTCGCACACGAGTGAGACAGTATCACTCTCAAGGTCAGTCATGCTGTGTTTTGAGAGAGGTAAGGACTGAATGAAACTCTAGTCCAGTTTTCAATTGCCTAGTGAGTGGTTATTTTTGGCTAAGAATCGAAGCACATATTGTTCGTGAAAACCCACACGGAAAGCAATGGTAAGCGTTAATCTGCCAATCGAATTCTTGAATTCTAATGCGCCTACCTGGTATTCGTACCCTGTACATTTCCCGTCAGTCGTTTGAATTCTGTGAAAAAGATGTTGGCAAGCTTTGATCCACATCCATTATGGCCACCAGGGGTTGTCTTTTGAGTCATTAGTTACTGATAATTACAAAGAACTTATCAAAATTCTTCCTAGGAAGGAACAATTTTACTCAACAATTCCTCAAAGACAGACACTTATTTCGAAGGAAGAGACTCTCATTTCTTCCTCATAATCACCACGTTATCAACTACGCCAAAGTCGTGGTCTTCTGTCTCGACCGCTCTCAACGCTCAACTGCTCAAATCCTCAACAACAAGTCTACGCACATAGAGCAAATTGTCAGTTGCTGCTCCTGATATCTCCTGGACATTTCCCATACCCAAACACATCAGCAAGTCTTTCAGTCGACACTAAGAAGAGTTCTCGGTGCGCATGGAAATGAAAAACGAAAAAAAGGGGAAAGATCCAAATCCGTTGCACTGTCACCGCTAGCCCTTGTCAGAAACCCTGCTGGACTGTAGCCACCCACGACAGTATACTACGAATGTAGAAATTGCTACTTTCGTGCGCCACGGTGTGCCGACAGTTGCCTAATCCATTCGCCCGGTAATTTACACCCTTCAACTCTTCACTATCATTTAGGATATCGATTCCTCGCTCATCGCATCCAAGTAATGCAATTCTTGAGCGACGTTCTGAAATACTGCTGGAAGAATGTTTTTGCAATTAGTTCATAGGAAATCTTCCTGATGTGTAAGATACGCATGACGAGTTTCCTGGTGGCATTTTCATGTGAACCATTCTTTGTGTGCAGTTATTGTTAGTTTCTGAGAGAAGTGGAGGTTCTGTTCAGTGGCTAGCAAGTCACAGGCAGAATTGACTGATTTCACTTATCAACAGCTTTGTTGTTGTGTCCGAAGAGCAGGAATAGTTGGCGGTGAGAAACGATGATGCAGTAGCAAGTTAGTCTCTTACAACTGCTGTCGTAATTGTTGCAGTTTTGAACGATTAGCACATGTGCTGCAATCAATGGCGACGTTTTCGAGGCTTGTAGCGGTCGCCTTGCTGCCCGCACCCGTGCCCTTTCTGCCAGCGCTACAGACGTGCCAGAATCCCCTCAAGTCGGGACATCATCGCACTTTCACCCTTCTTTATTGTAGGTCGCAAGCATCGTCAGGATTTCCAGACGATGGCATTCGCGAAGGTATGTCTGGATTTGTAAAACTATCCCAGCTTAGTTGGCAGAGAACGAGATGCTGTGTTAAATGGCATTGGAATTGAGTCTCCTGCATTTTCTAGGGTTTTCTCCTGTCTACAATCGTACAATTCGACATAGCTTAAAAGTTGGCGAAGGATTAATAATTTCCGGTCTTTTATTTGTTTCGTCGGTTATTTAAGCTGTGGTGGGATGGCAATACATTAGTATTTTGTTTTAGTATTTTGTTCATGATTATTGCTCGGTCGCTAGCAGTTCGAGGGTCATCTACGAGTCCGAATTGTCAAGTACATGAAGTATAACGTGCTGTGTAGTACATGTCTCTCAAGAACTCCGTACGCGTAGTTTGCACGCATCACAAACCACTTAGCAATTGGTTACTAGCACATTTATGGCAAGCTTTATGCCTCTGACATACATATATATATATATATATATATATATATATATTTGAGCATTCCAGAGCAACCGAATGTTGGCAAGCATGTGGTCGAAGCGGAGAAAATGAGAAATGAGCGAGGGGTGCAGTTTTTTGTGGGCTCTTCGTTTTACCGGGAGGAAAGTGCTGTTGGACGAGATTTAGCCTGCCTGGCAGCCGCTGTATACAAGAAAGACAAAGGCCGACTGCATGTTTTGGATGCTTTGAGCGGTTGTGGCATTAGAGCCGCCCGCTACTTAGCTCATGCTCAAGCGGATTTTGTTTGGGCAAACGACGCATGTGATGCTCTTGATACCCTGATGGCACATAATCTCTCTCTGGCTTCTTCTTCCTCCACTTATGACACGGTACCTCTTTCTCATGCTGTACAATTGCACGATATCCTAGCACGGAAAGGGGCAAGCAAGTCTAGACATTATGTGTAGAATCGGTTGAACTCTACGCTTTAACTGTATGAATTATAGTAGACTGTCAGGAATTTGTTGTGTGGAAGTTCTAACGATGGTTTGCGTAACTTAAAATATCTAGAATTGAGTCTTTTTTGAGTAATAACTGGCCGGAAACCAGCCCTGTTCAACGACTATGATGAACTCTGTAAACAGAGAGAAATCCTGAAATATTGCGATCAGTATTGTATATAGTACTTCTCTCTTAGTTTGATGCAAGTTCCTCACTTCCCGCAACCACCGGTTGCAGTTTAATGTTTGATCAACGATAAGAACGTCTAAAGTTGAGTGTGGATTCCAGGATCACTCAGGACAGCCCTCTCAGGAATTGGATTCCTACTTCTCTACAAATTTCAAAGACGAGAATGGGCGATGGCAAGTCACTACTCAAGATGCCAATAAAGTGTTGCTTGACTGCTACATCCGAAAGAACTACTTTGATCTCATCGATGTGGATTCTTTCGGCAGCGACTCCGTTTTTCTAGGTTCTGCTCTTTCGGCATTATCATATGGAGGTCTTATCTATGCAACTTCAACGGATGGGTTCTCTTCAGGGGGACATCGTCCCTGCAAGTAAGCCTGAAATGTTTCCCTGAACTTTCTTGTATACTTGGTACACATTCCGCTTGTTTATAATTGTTATTATAAACAAATAAGGTTACTAATAGTAATCTTATTAGAAGCGAATGCCATAAACCTGATGCTGAGTCACTATGTTGACAGGAAGGGAGTTGATGAGTGTTTGCTCGCAGTGCTCTAGCATCGTATGGAGCGTATATAAGGCCTATGACTTTCGCCAATGAAATTGGTCTCCGAATGCTGATTGGAGGTGTAGTACGAGAGGCAGCACTACGCAACTTGCACGTGTATCCAGTATTCTCACATTATTCATTCCATGGCCCAGTCTTTCGAGTCATGCTCCGTGTGCTCCCCAGCAACCAATTTCTAACTAAGTGAGTTTTTATCATATATTGCCAGTACAGATTCTTGTATGCTGACTTCTTTGCTGTGATTTTATTTTATCAAAATACTTTCAACAGCATGGTGTGAACTCACAACTTCTGAAGGAGTGGTTATGTTAGAATTTCAGAGAGCAATCATCAGTTTCTCATTTAGTTCAAGTGAGCTGAGAAACTTTCTTTATGTAGATGGGATAATGATTCCTCCTTTGTCATTGCTAATGAGGTATCTGGATCACTCAAGAGCTTGGAATTTCTAGCTTTTCCCTAGTTATCTCTTGCAGTTGTCTCGATTTGTTTAACTCATTGTCCCTGCAGAGATTATAATTTTATAGCATTCTGCCACAAGTGTGGTGAAACTGAAGTCGTCAAATGGAGCTCCCTTGGCCGCAACAAGTGCTCATGTGTGTCCTCCTCCAGTGTGAGTGCTTTACGACGACCCGCTAGTTAATTCACTAATGAAACTTCTGCATTTGCTTAAGTATGAGCGAGGATTTGTTGGAACTAGGTTCAGCCAAATTTCTAGTCTAAAAGTTGTAGTGGGAGATTGCGTCTTGCATTTTGTAGTTCATTATCTGTACCGCCCATATTTGATCGCTCTGCATGCAAAATAATGTAAATATACTGGAGGTGTGAAAACTTCGCCTAAACCTGGGTGTTTGTGGGCTCGGAACAGGTTTCCTCTCGAACCTTGAATGGGCCTCTGTGGACCGGTCCTTTACATAGTACAGACGACGTAAAGAACATGACTGAAATGGCCAAGTCTTGGGGTTGGATAGAAGGGGACCTAGAACCTGCGTATGAGCGGAGGCGTAGTCCTCCCGTGTCCACGAAGGATCGAAACTTGAAGAAGTTGCTCAGTATTATGCTTGAAGAGAGTAATCCAGATCTACAAGTGGGTTATATTGAGCTTGATCAGGTACTTTATTTCTTTGATTGTTATGCTCATTACAACTACAAGTTGCAGAATAGTTCTTATGATCATCTTTCACATGCAGGATTCACCCTTATTGATTCTTTCTGCATGTTGTTTGTCAGATTTCGATGAGGAGCAAGGGTTCAACTCCAAAGCGTGATGATCTGATTGTTGCCTTGCACCAGGTAATGGACAACTACTCCTTCTCTTCGGATTAAGCTGCAGTAGTCACTTTTTGCTCATGTGATCTTCCCATGATATTTGAAACATAAGTTGCGCTTTTTGAGCTTTAGGGAAAATGTTGATTGTGCGAAGGAGCTTTTGCACTAGTTACTCCACCGTAGTTCTCAAGACATGAGTGTATGAATCATTAAAGATGACTCGTTTGTTCTTTTACAGGAAGGATATGCTGCTAGCAGATCTCATGTACAACCTAATGCAATCAAGACCAATTGTCCTTTAGGTAAATGTGTTGAAATTTCACAATCGACAGCACCCCAACGTTAGCCATTCTGACCATTTCAAGCAGGTGACGAAGGTGCTGCAGGTTCTAAAAAATGTTCAATTTTGCATTTGTGATCAAAAGATGACATCCATCATCTGGACTATTTGAGGTTTTCTTTGTTGTGTGACTTCCAGGTGATTGGCATAATTTCTAATGAAGTGCATGATGACGAGTTGGTTTGATTCTAAGCTCTAAGATGTAGAAGCTGGAAATCAAAAAAGGAATTTGCTAAAATCTGAGAGACATATCAAGCTGTTCTCCAGATAATTATTCCCCCGAAACAAACCCCCAATAATTAATTAAAATTTTGGGAACTGACTCTAGCTATAATCTGAGTATTTAGATTGTTTGTTGTTTAGATAATTAGTAACCATTGAAAATTAATATTTTTTTGTAACAGATGATATTGATTAGTAGAGGGATATTTATATCTATATATATACAGTCTCATGCCACAAGCACACCCATTATATCTATATGCGCACCCAAACCTTCTGATTGACTCACTACATCCTTTTCTCCTTGTCCAGGCGTCCCTGCATGGGTCCCAATTCCCCTCCTTCTCTCCCTTGCCCCTGCGCGGGTCCCGGTCCCCACCCTCTCCTTTGCCTCGCCCCGGTGCGGCCCTTGCCGCCTCACTTCTTTTTCCCTCCGCCGCAGAGACAGAGTCTCTGTTTCATATCTTTATTTCGATCTATTCATAGCTTCATGACTCTTGCATTGTCGTTCTCTCCTCTCTTCATTCCATCGTTTACGTAAATTCTGTCATTCTCTTCGTTTTGGATGCTCCTTTTTTTCGTGCTCCGACTTTTGAACCCGTCTGCCATCACTTTGTGAGGAGTACCAAATGCCGAATACCTCCCACCGGGCATTTTAGACAGCTTGAGTGTCCCTACTGAGCTGGTCAGTGCTCGTATGTTAACCTTGAATCGTATGGGAATTGCTTCCAAAGCCCCAAATCCTCCTGGATTCTATTTTGAATCCGACGTCCAAAACGTTCTCCTGCTTCCCAACTCTCTAATGCTTTTATCCAGTGTCCCAGCTAATTCAGCAACTTAAACATTGCCACCCAAGTTCCTCCCTTTGTCTAGGCGAATTGGCGCAAGGATCCACCTCGCAGCTGGTGGCAATTGCAACTGTCTGACTGGATAAATAAGTTCTCACAGCAAGAGAATCGCCAGGATTTCTCTTTGAGCGCAGAAGTTGGGTGTTTGATCCCTATGTCATCCCAGAACATGATGACCATAAACTGGTAATAACTTTCAATGTGGATATCTGATTGGCATCGGTGAGTTGTATCTATACGACTGCCACCAAGCAATGTGTTAGTTGAATTGGTACTATATCTTTCTGGCTCCTCATAAGGCTTTGGGACAACTCAATTGTAATGCAGGTCCTTTGCTTATTGAGCTTTGCGGCAATCTCAACAATCAATCGATCTTTCATTGGAAGCATACGTGTTTTGACCTAGTTTAATCCTGAACTGCTAGGATTGGTTCTTCTTGAACCAAATGGAGGTCCAACATGCATTTGCTGCAAGTGCCACCGTTTGAGTTCTAATGTTCACTGTCAAGGTGTGCAACAGTTTTCACAATGACTTGCAGTCATGAGTAGAAAAGCAGACAAAGTTTGACAGATGGCATGTTCAGGACTAGATGCAGATGATGAAATGCTAGGAGCAACATTCTGAAGTTCACGGCATTCATGGATTCATCCAGAGTCAACTTTGCCCCCAACTCGTGGAAGGGAAGAAAATACTTTTCATCATTTTAACACCATATCGGCTAGCAATAGTTTAAACAATTGCACGCAATAAACATTCAGCAAATGATTAGGCCCTCTGGTCAGGGAGGGGATAGAGACCTACACCAAGGCAAGGAAGAGGAGGAGGATTCAGATCCAAATAGGGATTAGGCCCTCTGGTCAGGATAGAGACCTACACCAAGGCAAGGAAGAGGAGGAGGATTCAGATAGATGTGTGTATAGACATAATAGATGTTCATATGACAATTTGAGGTGTGCTTGTAGCCTGAGCCATTTAAATATTCATATATACATACAAAATCGTAGAAATTATAAGACTTAACATAATTTTATATTATGAAAGAACATGATTTAAAAAGAAATTACTCAATATTATTTTTATTAATATTTTAAATATCAAAAATACAAATATATTATTTAATAAGATTTATGGATACATTATAGCAAAGATAATATTTTTAATTTTTTAATGTTTGCAAAAAAGAACTAAAATAGATTGTAGATAGGGACAATAAAAATGGATTATATGTAGCTAATAATATTATTTGTTTTAATTTTTATTATAATAATGTACATAATAATAACTAATATTAAGATTTTAAGTTAAATCTGAAAAATCTATTAGGTAAAATAATTTATATTGATGTTTTGTATTGCTGTGTAAGATTGGTTTATTAAATCTAATTCTTTTTGTCTATTTATCTTTTAATTTAATGCCAATGGCTTTTGTTCAAGCTTCCAAAGTCACATCCATTTTTATTTAACTTAGTAGATACAATATATTATGTGTTTTAATTTTTACATAAATTATTTATAATTTATAATTCAAAGAACTATTAGCTATTAAATTTAAAAATATCTTACTTTAAAGTTTGATATATATATATATAATATTAAGATTATATGTACTTTTATTTTTAAATAAGTAAAGAAATAACTAATATTTATAATACATTACTTGTGTAAAAATTAAAATCTAAATGTGGACTTAATGTCATAGACATATATATTTACTTAGATAAGAAGTGTTAGGTAGAAGATAAATGTAAGTAGATTTAATATTATCTTATGGTAAAGCTTTTTAGAAGCTTTATAGACATGTATTTGATTTTATACATGTTTATAGTTGATTGGTAGGATAGAAATTTGGCCAACAAATTAGCTGTATGTTGGACATGTAGGTAGCTTGTGATACAAGTGAACAATGTGGCATGCAAATAAGAAATTAGCCTTGTAAGTTAAAACATGTGTCTTATAAATTGGACATGTGTTGGAGGTCCTATAAAACATTGTCACATAGCTCATAGTTAGATAATATATATAGAGGCAAGAGTGAAGCCTTCTTCACTATTGTCAATGTTTTTCTAGTTCTTAGTCTTGTTTCTAGATTTTTAAGTCTTCTTGTCTTTGACAATAGTTTGTTTAGTTTAATATTATATCATCTCTATGTAATTTTCAAGTTTGTTTGAGTGATACAAGAATTTATTAATCTTTCAATTCTTTGAAATTCATGTCCTTGACACTTAAATTATATTTAGTTTTATATATATTTGATTTTTTTTATTTATATAGAAATATTATATGTAAAAACTTAAAGAAATTTAAAGTAGATAAAATTCTTGAAGGTTGTATATAAAGATTTTTAGATATATTTAAAATATTAAGATATTAAATAAAAAATTATACCTTATTGAGATAAAAATCTATCAAATATTTCTTTTAGAATATCTTAAAAGCTCTTAAATATATAGATTAATGTGTATATTTATTGAAATATATTAAATATTATTAATAAAATAAATAAAATATTATATAATATAAAATATAAAAATATTATAAGTAATTTTTTGAAAATTTTGTTGTTTATAGAAACAAATAAGAAACAAAAACACCAAAAAATTAACTATTTTATCTTTTTGTATTTTTTATTTCTTCAATAAGAATATTAATGTAGATAGTAAAATTTTATACATTGTTTGTTATAAATGTTTTGTACTTCACATGTCATTGAGGATTTGTTGCTATTATTATTTAATTTAGCAAGTAGAATAATTTAATTTAGATTGTATTCATGTTATATAGAAAGCTAATATTTTTAATATCTAATATCTTAATCTTTAGAAGAAATTATATGTATAACTTTGCAATGATTTTTTAAGTTGTATTCTACTATTTAGAACATGTATGATATTATCCTTAATGGTGCAATTTCCTTAAGTATTAAAAATTAAATATAATTAAATATATTTTTTAGAATAATTTTTTATATAAAATTTTCGTTGCCTTTGATTAGCTTAGTCTTTGAATTATCTAGTCATTGTAATGTCTAATATGTATTTCTTTACAAAAAATAATAAAATGCATTCTTTATTTAAAAAAAAAAAATAAAAAAAAAAATGCATTGCATATATATAAATACTAAAGAAAAATAAAGTGTTTAATTTATTAAATACAAACTTGGAATAATCTTAGTATTTATAATTATTTTTAATTATATAAATAATATATTATAGCATACAAAGATTATTTTTAAGTGTAGTTTTGTAATATTTTTTTTTTTATTTAAGTTTGGTTTTATAATGATTCTATTATAAGTATTTAATTTTTGATTTTATTCATTTATTATAGAAACAATTCTTCAAAATATTTATTGAATTTTATTTCTAATATTTAGTTTTGATTGTAGTTAGCATCTTTTTAATTTTTTTTTCTAATATATTTCTTTAAATTTAGATAATTATAACTTCTTATTCATTGTGTTGTATTTGTGAAATTTTATTGCACTTTGTGTTTTAAAACTTCAAATTCTTATTGACACATGTATTACAACTGTTGTTTTGCTTCTACTTAATTTTTATTGCAATCAATCTATAGTGTTAAAACATATATATATATATATATATATATATATATATATATATATATATATATATATATATATATATATATATATATATAATATTTATCATATTAATATGATTATTTTAATAAAAAATAATCTAATGACTTATTGGACCTTATTATTATAATTTATTTTGTTACTATCAAATTTATTTTTTTAATATGTTGAAAGAAAATTTCACCTACCATTTTAAATCTACAAATCCCTTTTAGAATTTGTTTTACTTGTTTTATCATAAATAAAACTTGTATCTCTTATTTATTTACCTAAACCATTTTCTACAATGCAATATAAGTACATGAGATATTTAAAATATTATTAAAATAGTTATGAATAATTTTAAATAACTTACAATGTATTTTAGTTTTTTTAATTCTGATAATTTTAAAATGTATAAATTCTAATATGTATATATATATATATATATATATATATATATATTATACCAATAAATAAGATAAATTTAATATATAAAATTTAAAAATAAGATGTCAATATTTAGTTAAATTTTGATGTATTATCTAAGATTTTAGCTAAGAATTCGGAACTATTAAATTATAACCTTTATGTTGACTTGTATATATACTTAAATAAAAATTCTTACTTTTGTAAACTTTTTTATCTTCCAAAGAATTTAAAGACACATTAAGAATTTGATCTA